CCTCTACTTTACCAAATGTGATGTCCTTCTCCAGGGAGTGGTCCCTCCTGATAACATGTCTAAAGTATGTGAGACAAAGTCTCATCATCCTCGCTCCTAAGGAGTATTCTTTGTACTTCTTCCAAGACAGAAGCTTATCCATGGTTACATAGTTTTCAGACAAAAATTATTTTTCCAGTGTCTTTTATGTCATAAGGATACTTTTTTTTCCCCACGGGCCAGTACATATTCAGAAAGAATTTTGGAAACCAACATAGGGTTGCCAGCTTTTTATTTTGTTTGATCCTGACCTTCAAAAACAAATACATAACAGTTATCATCTCCTCCCACTTTGATATCAGAAAGTAAAGGATGATTTTTTAGTAGGATGTTAAAGAGATTTGACCTCAGAAAAACTGATAACTCTTAAATTGACTGCGTTTAGCTTTATGAAAGACCTTTTTCTTTCTCACGGAGTGGCACCCGTCCACAGACTGGCATTTCAGCACCTGTTCGTTTGCTTCAAAAGAATAGCCTGCCTTCCACGGGCTGCCTCTCTAGCTGTGACTATAGATTTCCCATTTCCTGGGTTTCATTCCTGAGATATTGAAGCTCTTCCTCATCTGCTGTGACAGAAACCTCTGCCACTCTCTCCTGGAGCATTTACTACAGTGGATTAAAATTCTCTGTCCGTCTGTCAGTATCTTCCACTAGACTGTGTTCTTTTAGAGCAGGGACTATGTCTTGTCAATCCCCAGCACCTACTATGGAGACCTGGCACATATTGCCAGTTGCCATCCAGTCAGTTTCAACTCATGGTAACCAACCCCATGTGTGTCAAAGTAGAACTGTACTCCAGAGGGTTTTCAAGGGCTGAGTTTTTGGAAGTAGATCGCCAGGGCTTTCTTCCGAGGTACCTCTGGGTGGACTCAAACCTCCAACCTTTCGGTTAGCAGCTGAGTACATTAGCCATTTGCACCAGGGACTGCCACATATTAAGCACTCAGAAATGTTGGTTGAATGAGTGAATGCTTATGTAAAGGAAGGATGGATTTGAATTAAAGAGAGTTCAAAATTCATTCAATATACCATTTTTATGTGTAGCTAGTAGAAAATAATGTTTAATTTGCTTAATTAAATTAAGTAGAAATTAATCTTTAATTAATTAAAATACGTGTTTTTAAATTTCTGTGTTGAGAAGGAGGGTCTCCACTTTAAATGTATTTTGTGTTCAATATCTAGCCAACCTGTAGAATGAAAGCGGAAAACTCAATTAACGGGTTATTAATAAAGCTTTGATGATTCAAGGGACACCCTTTTGACCTGCACTGTGAAGTGGCTTTTATGGGCAGGCATGGCAGTGTTACTTGAAATCACGTGGTAGCATCCACTCTCAGGGCTGCTGTGGATCCAGCCAGCTGATGGTGCAACACATAATGAGACCTGTCCTCCTGATTAAAGATGTGTCTGTTTGCCTGGGGAGTTACCGTTGCTAGATAGCTGTGTCTGCTGCTTGCTGCTTTTCAGAAAGCACTGCTGGACTTCTAACTGATGCTCTGGCTCCTTGAACATTCTTTCTAGGAAGCCCCAGGGGAGAGAGCTGGGAAGATGCACAGCTCCCTGGAATGTGGGCCTGTTCTCTTTCTAGAAGTCAGTCAAGGACTGAAGACTGTCCAATTAGACATGTCAGGAGCATTGGAAATGAACTCCAGTTCATATTGCAGGCGGATGGATCTTGGAGAACGAAGATAGTAGTTGGGGTGGGAGGTTTGTTTTAGTTAATGTTTTTGTCGTTGTTGTCGCTGTTGTTTTCCTTCCAGTCTACCTGTGGGAGTCATTGTGAACAAAGTCCTGTGTCAGAAAAAAAAAAACACAGTAGTTTGAAGGTCAAAAGGAACTGAGGCTAATAAGAGGAATTCTCAGTGAACATTTATAAATGAGAGATACTTTTCAAAGGTTCACCAGACCATCTGAGTTCGAACTGCTTCCCTTGGCTAGAAGATGGATTGAAGCAGAAACTGTGTAAAAATCCTTGATTATTTTTAGCATAACGCCTAGCTCCTTCCTTCCCCCACTCCCAAAAGGAAAAGTCTTAACACACTCTTTCCACGCCTGCCCCAAAAAGCCCTTTTACTTGATTGTTTTGTGCTTTGCGCTTTACTCTGTGTTTTTCAGTCTTTTTAAATGCACATTTAACCTTTTTGATAAACACAGAGCCGCACTTTTCATCCCCACATAGGAAATCATCAGCATCTGTGTATTCCACCAGCCAGGCTCTGGTTGAGCTTCGTTTTCCACAATGTTTCGTGGGGGGCACAGGGAGTAGTGGTGTTGTAGGAGGACCCACAGATTGCTTTTTCCCAAAATATAAAATTATGTGATAATGCCAAATGCGCTTCTCCTGTCCCAAATCAAAACTGAAATGTGAATTTCCACCCCCGCCCAGCCCTAGGTTGATATTCCCATAGTGGAGTGCCCTTTTCCCTTGGGAAACCACACCCCAGCTGCAGCCTTGTGGATCTTCTCACTTCAGTTCTGAAGCATTTCCAAACTGTGAGAGGCACTGGATGGAGCCACGTTACCCCAGCTCCACCCAGCAAACATGCTTTCATGATGTGGTTTGAGACAAGCCTCTCAAAGTGAATCACTGCTGAGATTTCCTTTTTGCTCATAACACACACATCAGTCATCAGCCTTTCAAGCACGACCTGTTCAGAGACCCCAGGTTCTGATGAACTTAACTGAGAAGGAAAACTTTAATCTTCTTTCTTTGTGGCTGCAGTCACATGCTCTGGTTGCCTAAAGAATGGGCAGTGTTCAGAGCTGAAGCTCCTGGACAAGCTGATCGTCAGCCCTGTGGTTGAAGGAACACGTGTTTCTAGGGTTTGGGAAGTAGATTAACACTAGGCTTTTTGATACACCAGTCTCATCCTTTATAGACTATTGTTAATTTGATCTGTTAGAATTATACTGGGTAAGATAATATATACTATTATATTACTACTGGGTAAGATAACCATGGAGTGGAGTCTCCCTGGGTGATACAAACAGTTAACTAGCTTGGCTGCTAACTGAAAGTTGGAGGTTTGAGTCTACCCAGAAGCACCTCAGAAGGAAGGCTTGGCAGTCCGCTGCCAAAAAATCAGCCACTGAAAATCCTGTGGAGCGAAGTTCTACTCTGACACACATGGGGTCACCGTGAGTCAGGATCAACTCAGTGGCAACTGGTAGTACTGGTTGATAAAACCACCAAAGCCAGGGGGAGCTAATGTTTTTCCTTCATTACCGCCTTTATTCTATTCCCCTTTCTCATTCTTTCCCGAAGGGAGCTAGAAACCGTATGTCTGCACAGGTTGTGCACTGCAGTCTGACTAGTACCTCTGGGGCTGGCGGCCCTGGCTTCAAGTGCCTGCTACAGAAAGGCTCTCTCCAGCGGGCCTCTTGGGAGGTATGCCAGTAGGAAAGGCAATGGCTGCATCTGGAAATGCCTCTAACAGGCCTGAGTTCTGTTCTCCTGGACGTAGATTTGAGCCTAGGAGCTCATTATCCAGTGTAAATCTGCTACCTGGGGACCTCTTACCCACAGAGGCCACAAATCAGTGACTTATTAGATTATTGTTTACAGAAATCCTGTGGATTCTTTTCTTTTAGAAACTGCATGTTTTCCTGTTCCAAGAAGTGCTTGTGATCACTCGAGCTGTCACCCACAACGAGCAGCTCTGCTACCAGTTGTACCGGCAGCCGATCCCTGTAAAGGACCTCCTGCTGGAAGACCTGCAGGATGGAGAAGTGAGGCTGGGCGGCTCCCTGCGTGGGGCCTTCAGCAACAATGAGAGAAGTATGCATGACAGCCTGTGCTGCCCTTTTGAATGATTTGGGTTGTGGTGGTCAGTTCAAAGGGAATGGCTGGGCAGTGAAAACAGAAGAGCCAAGGCCTGGGGCCAAGTGAATTCCATTGCTGTTTCATCACTTACTGGCTGTGTAACCTTGTTGAGCCTCTGTGGGCCTCAGTTTCCCATCTGCAGAGTGGGGATACATGTGTTCCTACTTCATAAGGCTTGTTACAAGGATTACGGGAGACACTGCAAGTGAACATGTCCACATATAACTTGAACATTGGCTCCTTTTCTCTGCATCCTTCGGTTGGAGAAAAGCACACTTAATACCAGACAATCCCTTGTGGATACCAGTTTCACAGCAGTGGGTTTCATAGTTGTGCTGGCAGACTAGTCTTACAAGGACATAAGGATGGTCAGCTGGGCTGAGTGTTCATCTGTAACATTACCTGAATGGGTTTCTCTAACTTGAGACTTTATTAAGAGGAGCTCAGAGGGCAATATCTGGTAGTATCTTCCATGTGTCTAGCAAGACAGTGCGTAGAACAAAGTTAATTTCTTTGCCCCTATGGAACTTACATTGCAAAGGAAGAGATAAACCAATATTCCAGGTGCTCCTAAGAAAAATAAATCCTGGTAAGGCTGTAAGGGGACAGAGAGAGATAACAGTAGGTGGTCTGTTTCAGATGAGGTGGTCAGGGAAGTCTTCTTTGAGAAAGTAACATTTGAGCCTCCTGGGTTAACACAGGCATCATATTTTCAAAGCAATTAATATATACTATCAGCTATTCATCAATCCTTCCACCCTACCGGTAATAATAATGATAGCAGTAGTTCATATTTATTGAATACCATGAGATGCCAGGCATTGTGTGAGCACTTACATGTATTATCACATTTGTTCCCTGTAACAACCCTATGAGTCAGGTTCTCTTGGTTTTCCCCATTTACAGATAAGGAAACTGAGGCACAGACAGGTTAAGGTAGTTGCCCAAGATCAAAGGGGTGTAGACTGTACTTAAGGGATTGGTATTATCTTCTAGCCAAAGATGGCTAGCAATGAAGCATTTGGGCCTACGCCGCCTTTGTTGCTTAGCCTCTAAGCGATCTGAAGTGGTAGTTCCCAGTCTGTTGGCTCCTAGGTTAGAGCAAGCGAACTGGGTCAGAGTGCTCAAGAATTGCACACAGGGCCCATTAAATGTCAGTTAGTGGTGATGGTATTAGACTAAATAAAGATATCTTGCATATTGTACACTACCATTTTTCAAATGTATATAGCTCCTCTTGAGTTAAAGTGTAATTTCATTTAAAAAGGAAACCGAATGTATCGTAACTCTATGTCTTTACATATTTTCTCAGTCAGTGGATACTAAATGTACGGGTACTATCAGGTGGAGTGTTGTAGATATGTGTTGATGTTACAGAGAGTTTCTTAAACTTGAAAAAGCTCTAGCTTAGGCACTTGTTAAAATTACAGGTTGTCAGGCCCATCCCAGATGTGTTGAATCAGAATCTCTAAGGGTGGGTGGGGCCCAGGATCTGTATTTTTAACAAGCTCCTCAGGAGTTTTTGATATGCAACTAGTTTGGGTAACCAGTACTCTGGGATCTCCTGAAATGCAAGACTTGGTTATTCCAAGCTGATGCCCACTTGCTAGCTTCTGAGAGCAGTTGATGGTGGCTGGAGGGTGGAGCTGAGCCATGTGCGGGATCGTGGGGAAACATTTTGTAATCGATTAGTGATGTCTGCAGGTGGGGTTGCCATGAGTCAGAATCCATTGGACGGCTAGGACGGCAACTGGTAGCCATGAGCCCTGGGGGTTAGGGTTACTACGTGTGTTATCTTTGGACTGGTGAAATACCTGTTTATTGACCTTTTTCCTCGTGTATTTTTCATTTCTAGTTAAAAATTTTTTCAGAGTAAGTTTCAAAAATGGATCCCAAAGTCAGACCCACTCGCTACAAGCCAATGACACCTTCAACAAACAGCAGTGGCTTAACTGTATTCGTCAAGCCAAAGAAACAGTTCTGTGTGCTGCTGGGCAGGCTGGAGTGCTTGACTCTGAGGGACCATTCCTAAATCCTGCCACGGGGAGCAGGGAGCCACAGGGAGAGACAAGACTTGAGCAGATGGACCAATCGGACAGTGAATCAGACTGTAGTATGGACACGAGTGAGGTCAGCCTCGACTGTGAGCGCATGGAGCAGACAGACTCTTCCTGCGGGAACAGCAGGCACGTTGAAAGCAATGTCTGACAGAAGCGCATCTACTTCCTGGAAGTTGCCCTGTGTCTTACTGTACAGTATTTGCATTCCACACGTGGAACGGTTTGGAGAAGCACTTTTTAATACTTTTGTGACCGTGTTGACCCAGTCTCTTATATCTGTACCTTTGTCCCTAGTACTGTAACTGCCAATCTGTCTGTGTAAGCTGGAATCTGTGACAACTGTTACCCTGTGTTGCATTTCACAAGTGGATGGATGGAGAGGTACTTGAACAAGTTACTTTCAATTGTCCTGCTGGATTTTAAAAACAGTAAAAGAATCTCTAAACTACTGTTTGTGTAGATTACTTAGAATCCCTCCATGCTCCCCAGCTCTTAGACATGGTAGCTGACGGCACAGAAGTTAGAGGGCCTTGCAAACAGGACATGAGGAAGTCACTCATGTCTGGCGATGGCATTTGAGGGAGAACTGGGAAAGTTAAATGCCTCGGAGTAAGATTGGTGTGATGGCATTCAACCAGAAAGCGTCATTGAACAACATCCCTGGGGATTCCAGAGGCTTCATTTTGCAAGGGAAAAAGTTCTGTGTTGACCTTGTGATTGATTCCATCCAGTGCAAGTTTGATGCAGTAATCTATTAGGGCATGAAATAGAGTCTGACCTTAAATGGGCAATTATGCAGAAGCAGCTGCCAGCTCTGAATCTTTGACAGAAATGCGCATTGCACCAAGACACCTCTGTAGTAGTTAGTGGCTTGCCTTCAGAGCCATTTCTAGCCGAAAACATCAGAATAGAGACTGAAAGGGCCTGGGAAAAACCTTCCAGGATCACAGGAAGGCCGTGTCTTCATTCATGTTGTTCCATCTCTCAGCCTACTCAGCCTTTATAGCAGAAATGAAAAGGTGAGGAAAAGAGACAGTGACCGTCAGTGACTCTGTTTACAGAAGCTTGGGAGAGGAAGAACTTGGAACTGGAAGTGTTTCATCATGACCTTATGTGGGAGGCCTTAGAAAAGTAGTGTCCAGTGCTCCTCTGAGAAAGGCCAGAGCCTTGGGTTTTCCTGCTGTGCTTCTGGGTCATCAGTTTTGCTGTCTCTGACTCTGTGCTGCGGTCAGAATCATAATTACATTCTCCAGAGGCCAGTTCAATTAGCCTTATGATTTCATTTGACGCAGTGGTTAAAGCACTCGGCTGCTAACTGAAAGGTAGCCATTTCGAACCCACCAGCTGCTCTGCGGGAGAAAGATATGGCAGTCTGCTTCTGTGAAGATTACGGCCTTGGAAACCCCGTGGGGCAGTTCTGCTCTGTCGTCCCGGGTCACTAGGAGTTGGAATTGACTCAATAGCATTGGGTTTGGTTTTTATGATAAATTAGGATCAGTTAGCCAAACTGGAAACCTCTTAGTCCAGCCTTGACTTACAGTACAGACTTGGTTGCAGATCTTGGTGGGGGGGGGGTGTTAACTAAATGCACACAGAAAAGCTCCCTGTGAGTGTAAATATTAAGGAAGACCTGTGCAAAATTATACCCGCACCAGCACTAGTAGTAATGATTCTAAATTATTGCCAAAAAGGTTTTTCTTTTAAATCTTCTGTGTTTTTCAAGTTTACAGGGGGAAAAAAAAAAGCAGTCAATTCAATGTTGTCATTTTCTTATGTACATGTCATGTGCACTCAAAGAAGCTATATGACAAGATTATCAGTATACAAACAAGGTAGATTGCTGTATTATTTTTGAAAAACAAACAAAAATATTGTGGTCAGTTTGGCCCTGTAGAACATATTTCTGTATTTATAGATTTTAAACATGGTGAATTTTTTTCTATTACAAGTTTATTTAAAACTACTTTAATGTTTCTCAAGTTGTTATTGATTTAGCCAGTGAGCGAGCTTGCTGCAGGAAAAAGCTGAGAAAAGTCTTTTGATGGAGAAAAGAATGAAGCATTCTTTGAAGGAGCCGTCGGTCACTTTGGCCAATGTGTTGAGACAAGACGTCTGTCAAGTATTGCTTATGGGAAGAAAGTAAATGAATGTTTTCATAAAATGAATGTTTTTGTATAACGGCCTTAAACTTTTCTGGAAGCATTTCAAATAAATTACATTAAAATGCCATCCTTTTTGTGTGCAGTGTTTGCCCTATGAATGTCAGATTTCAGCTGCCATCCGGGGAGGCTTCTTTCTGAAATGTTTGATTGTGGTCCCCAAATACAAACTTTAAAATAGGATGCGGGTGGAAATAAATGCTTTGATTTGGTCTGTCAAAACTTTTCCAGAACTTGTATTTTTAGGATCTCATTTTTCAAGCGTTCTTCATTCACTTATTTGCTTATTCATTTTTTGCAACTATTTCTCGAATCCATACTATGTGTAAAGTAAGTGACAAGTCATAATTGTTATAGTCAACAAGTATTGAATCTCATTGCTTAGGATAGGGGACTGTTGATGAACCTGAGGCTAAATTATAGAAGGCAAATTGTACCTTGAAATTCTTACTGGAATTTCAATCTACCTTTTCTTTAATTAAAATGACTAGTTTTATTCCCTGAAAGAGTAGTTCTTAGATGAAAAGGCTGAGATGTTTTAAGCTATTGGTAGCCAATTCTCAATAGCAAATGGGCCCAATAAGGCCACTAGTTAGTTTTATTTTTATGATAAGGCTTCACCATTTTCTTTAACACACTGTGAATTCCCAGATCAGTCAAGATACTCACATAAGTAAATATAAGTCCAAAATTTTTTCCCAAATGCAAATTCACCTCTAGCTCTCCTCCTCTCCCACCCCTTCCTTTTTCTCCTCCTCTCCAATCTTCACCGCCACTTTGGATATTCCCCCTACTTTTCACTCCCATGATTGTATTATCTGTTGATACTGGAGGGATATATCTTCACTAGTTAATTAGATAATGTTTGTACTGACATTTTGTGGGTAAGTACAAATGACGGAGGGCTAAATGGTTTTCTTTAGTCTATTTTCAAGATGTTATTTTACACACAACTAAATGCAATGCTCGCAGGCTACACAAAAAGTCATAACCAATGAAAAGAGCCAGAACTAGCAATCTTGTGCAAAATTAGAGTGTGGTTTCAGCTTCTGGGTTGTGGTCACCACCACCAATGGCTTTAGTTTCCATTCCCGGCATAGTCCCCAACAGCTAAGAATGCAAAGCTCTTGGTCCTATTTCAACAAAGACTGTGGTTAGATTTACATTCAGCCCTTGTCCACCTCCTACTAATCCTCCAAAGGCCTGAGGACTCTCTGGAAGAATTGGTAAAGAGAATGTCTGACCACATAGTTTCACCCAGGCCAGTTCTCCCCACCTGGCTCCCCTTGGCAATGTAGATAAATAGGCCACTGAATACCGTCATTTAACACAGTTGATTCATTTAGTTCACGCCGTCTTGTTTATTGACAGAATTCTAGAATTGCAGTATTGGAAGGGAGTTTGAAGAGGGTTCCTCAAGCCCAAACCCACCAGAAGGAATGTGAAGATCAAGAAGATTTAAAGCCTTGCCTACATGAGCATACAGTGGGAAAAGGTAACTGTATTCACTGCACCTAAAGGCTATTTATGCAGCCAATTCGAAAAACAGACACTGCTCATCAGAGGGACAAGCCAAGCTTCCACTCCCCAGTTGTGTCACAGCTGCTTGCTCTAGGTTAGGCCGTCAGCTACAAGGATCTACCCAGACAAAGCAGAGGGAATGAAGAGCAAGGAATTAGCTGATCTTTTAGTTTAGGAAACTAGACATGCATCCTAAAGAGCTTGTCCACACACATACACATTCACACAGTCATAAGCTGTGCTTTCTTATCTGTGGAAGGTTTGAAAAATATAATCTTGCTAGTCTTCTATTCAATATATCTGTTTCCATGTCTGTAAAATGGGGACACTGTATTCCCCTCAAGCCGTTTAAAAAGTGAATGAGAATAGTGTATGTGAAAATAATTTGAAAAGTATTAAGAGCTAATAGCTTTCATTGTTATTTAATATTCACTTTTAAAGTTGCATGTGGTGTTATGAAATTTCTCAGAAGTATGCCTTGGCAGGGGTCTTTTTCATTAGTTGTACTGTATACTTGGTGGGCCTGAATCGAGAGGATCTGGAATTTTTTCATATGTATATATAGATACAAAGATATATATCCCCCACTACTTGAGAGATGTTGAAGCTCCTGGATGGATTTTCAAATACTCTTATCTCTCCATTCCTACTTTTAATTTCCTTATATTTTGTTCTACTCACAGGGAAATTTCCTTACCTTTATGTTCTAATCATCCCCTTAGTTTGAGGAGAGGGTTCGCCGTCAGAGTTTTTATTGCTAAACACCTTTACTTTTTCTGTCATTGTTCCTACACTTACAGTATCCCCGTTCTTACTCAGTGAAGGCAATATCTTCTCTAACCTCTGCCAGAGTTTCATAGTTTTGTTGAATTTTTCTTCTGGCATTGTTTATCTGGGAATGATAATCGTAGTAACTCAGAATGTTTTTGGGAAGCTTAAATGAGCTAATATATCTTAAGTACTTATTATGGTGTTGTGACACATATCTTCCTTAGCCTCTCCAAATCCACTCTGTACTCTGATTTATCCTTTTTAAAATCCTGTGTGATCTGTATGCACTTCATCAGTGAGCTCTCTTGCGTCCAGCTCTTGGTTTGTTTTGGCCAAAGGAAAGTCCTTGGATTAGATCAATAAGAGGGAGAAGAGCAAGGCTGGAGTATTTAATCCTTCAGCTCCCTACTCTAGGAATTGCCTGGGCTGGCTATATCTCTTGACCTGAGGTCACAGCTGTTCTCAAGGAGCCCTCTCTGAGTTCCAGTAACCCTTCCAGCCTAAGGTGTTAACAGCCCCATTGTCACTACCCCAGGATATTGCTTTGTCCCTACACCCTGCCCACAACATTGTACATAGTCCCTTTATTAAGCCCTCCTTGAATTATCCTAGGAGCCCTGGTGGCACAGTGGTTAACTGCTCAGCTGCTAACCAGCAGGTCAGCGGTTCAAACAGACCAGCCACTCTTCAGGATAAAGATGTGGCAGTCTGCTTCCGTAAAGATTACAGCCTTGGAAATCCTATGGGACAGTTCTACTCCGTCCTGTAGTGACCTATAGGGTTGCTATGAGTCGGAATCGACTAGAAGGCAACAGGTTTGGTTTGTCTTTTATTCTTGTGTACTTCTTAGTGTCTTCATTTACCTTGGTCACGTTGTAGTGACTTCTCCCATATGGTGTATTGCCTTTACCTTCACCAGAATTAACACGTGTCTACTATCTAGTAAGTGATTCTCCCTCCCTCGCCCTCCCATCCCTGGTAACAATCAAAGAACATTGCTTTCTGCATGTAAACCTGTTCTTGACTGTCTTAGTTATCCAGGGCTGCTATAACAGAAATACCATAAGTGAATAGCTTTAGCAAACAAATTTGTTCTCTCGCAGTTTAGGAGGCTAGAATACAGGATGCCAGCCCTAGCGGAAGGCTTTCTCTTTCTTTCAGCTCTAGGGGAATGTCCTTGTCTCCTTTCAACGTCTGTGGGCCTGGCGTTCCTTGGAGATCTCCCTGTGTCTTGGCAGCAGTCTTGCCCTAGGTCTAGGAGGTTTTCAGCACAGGGACCCTGAGTCTAAAGACCGTGCCTTGCTACCAGCTCTTCTTTCTTGATGTAGTGAGATCCTCTCTGCTTGCTTCTCTCCCCTTTTATCTCTTGTAAGATAAAAAGTGTAATTCAGTCAAAGGTGTGACTTGAGTGACATCCTCTTCTAAGACTCAAGATACACCCTGCACTGATCCTGCTTTATTAACATATAGAAGTTAGGAATTACAGCACATCACGAAATGGAGATTATATCAGATCACAAAATGGAAGACAACCACACAATACTGGGAGTCACGGCCTAGCCAAGTTGACACATATTTTGGGGGGACAAAATTCAGTCCATGACATTCTACCCTTTGGACCCCCAAAATTCATATACTTGCCACATGTAAAACACATTCACTCCATCATATCATCCCAAAAGTCTTAAATCGACTCCATGTCCAAAATCTTATCTTCTGAATCATCCAAATGAAATATGGGTGAGACTTTAGGCATATGCCATCTTGGGGCAAAATTCCTCTTTATCTGTAAATTGGTGAAATCTGGACTACAAGTTATCTGTTTCCAAAGTACAACAGTGGAATAGGCACAAGGTAGACATTTCCATTACAAATGGGAGAAATTGGAGGGAGAGAAGGATAACAGGCAACAAGCAAGCCCAAACCCAGCAGAACAAATTACATTAGCTCTCAAGGCTTGAAAATAATCCTGTCTTCTCTCAGACCATCTGGGCAATGGCTGTGCCCTCCAGACTCTGAGTATCGACCACACCCTCTGGATTCTGGGTGGAGGCCCCTTGGCCCTGGGCTTCAGCTCCACCTTCCAGGCCCTCTGTGATGGCAACTCTGCTCCCTCAGCTTTAGACAGCCCCATTCTCCTAGTCCTTCTCAGTGGCAACCTCAGCCCTGGCAGGCCCTGCTCTTCTGCCCCTTGGGCATGGCAGCCCCATACCCTGACATACCTTAATGGTAGCCCCACACTCCAGAACTGAGTTAGCAAAGATCCAAATCTTTGAAACCAAGGAGGCTGTGG